ATTCTGTCACCTCCACCAGCCTTTAGCGGAGTGCTGGTCGACCACCCAGCTCTTCCACTCCCGTCCCCTTTTTGTCTGAAAGTTTCACTCCATTTACAGAAGACATATATTGCAAAACAAAACGAAAAACACCCGCTCGAAAAGTGACGTAATCATAGCCACCATTATATTAATAATGTTATTATTCGTCTGTATCTAGATAAACGGGTCACATCTGTTAATCTGTTAATCGAATATCCGGATCTTAATTGTGACGAATACCAAGCACCGACCGCTTGTAGCAGGTGGCGGGAAAGGAAAATGAGACGTCTGCAGCTCTCGGGGAAGGGTCTTGACTCTGTCGAGGAGTGAATAGCTTTTCATTGTTCGGGAGTTTTGTGCTTTGAGCAGTGCCATGTGATTGAGTTGCGGAACGCTTGTCTTATTTTTCTCCTGAAGCTCTAAAGTATTCACTTGGGATTTTTTTTGTGAGTGCCACTTTCTTCTGAATTGGATTATGCTAAAAAAGGAAATTCGGTTTTGTTTTATGTTCCATTGACTATAAGTTCTGCTTTGGTAATGTCGTCGTCGTCGTCATCATCATCATCATCATCATCATCATCATCATCATCATCATCATCATCATCGTTGTAGTCGTCCATGACGCTAAAAGAAATCCACAAGAACAATGCCACTGTTTATGAGCAACCACAGATATCGTGTAAACTGAACAGATGGGGCTTCAAATCAAAAACTAAAATGTGAAGCGTGCTGACAAAATGAGTTACTTCTCGGATCCAAGTCTTATGGAAATAGATACATCACGCTATTAGTAGGTGAAGTTTTTACAATTTATAAGTATGGAATAATAAAAGGCACGTTATAATACAAAAAGAATGTGGCATCAACAGAAAATCCTACAAATCTGACCCTATAGTGTGGACTTTTGGCCAATATTTCCGTTCGTGGATTGCGAGAAGTACCTCATTTTTTCAGCACGCTTCACAAATTATAAAAAACGAAAACCCCAAGTAAAATTCGATAGCATACTTTTTAAAAAAAGCAACACAGTCGATAGTGCCGTAAAACATATACTCAATCAATCAATCAATCAATCAAAAAGCAACACACACAGCATAAATAAATAGATTTACATGATTATGTAATCTATCTTATGACTAGTATCGTTAACACTTTAATTGTTTATTCCTATTGTATGCATGTTACTGTGAGTTTGTGTGGAGAGAGGATGTGTGAGATAATGTGTTTGAGTTGGATGGGTTTGTGCGCGCGCGCGTGTTTGAGTGTGGGTATGTGTGTATGTGTGTGTGTGTGTTACATGACCTACCTTGGTGTCGCAAGTGCCATAAAACATACTAAAACTCAAAAAGTCGGAAGAAATTAAACATTGTTCTATTTTGCAACGTGTTTGAGAGACTTTGATACTGATTATATCCTTGTAATTATGTGGGTTTAACTTTGGTTTCCCATTTCACCATTTTAAAGATAGATCTATTTGTTAAAGTGCGAGACCCCTGATTTTAACTTCCATCTCTGATGACGGACAGCATGTGGCAAGTTGGCGGAAAAATTTGAAACTCCCTAAAACAACAAGCCAAGTTCTTGATCGCACGGCTGGGGATTCGACTTAAACAGTGTAGACTGTAGACGAACAAATTATGTTTGATTCATTCCCCTCTTGCAGGTAACACTCACATTTCTGACCTCTCAGGGGACATAAACTAATGTTTTCAGGTAAATACTGTCTTAATTTAGTAGTCACCTCCCTTAAAACTTCCCGTTGAGAGCGATACAGAAAAAGTTTTTTTTTTTTTTAGTTTAGTAGACGTTTTACGGCGCTCGAAACAGCATAAAGTCATATGAGCTCAGAGAGAAAATATGGAATAATAAACATCAATATATATATA